GTGTGTGTGGCTTGAAGAATGCTATCATAGTTGACGAAGTTTAGGTATTACTCAGTGATACAGTTCATAAAGGAAAGGCAGAATAAATTCTTGATTTTCTCCTTTGATTTAATGGTTCTTAAGATAATTAGCACTGTTTTATCTCTTGAAAGTGACCAAGTTTTAAAAAAATATTATGAACGCTTAGAATTAAACATATTTGATGGATTTTAATCAGTTTCAATTATCATCATTAATAAAGCTAAAATTATTCTATCTTTGGCCAGTGGGAGCTTTTCAAAATTGGCTCCTGAGCCCTAGAATCAGCTGTTTCTTTACAAAGCCCTGGTCTCTAAGGGATGCTCATTGATACTGGGTTGGTCAGTGTTTCTAGGCCTTTTCTATAAACAGAGCTCAGAAATTATGCTCATATTTGAGATAAAATGAAAGTTCCTCACAAACTTATATTGATGCTTCCAATTAAAACTCTAGACTAGGGGCCAGCCCCGTGGCCGAGTGGTTAAGTTCACATGCTCTGCTGCGGCAGCCCAGGGTTTCTCCGGTTCGGATCCTCAGTGTGGACATGGCACCGCTCGTCAGGCCACGTTGAGGTGGCATCCCACATGCCACAACTAGAAGGACCTGCAACTAAGATGTGCAACTATGTTCCAGGGGGATTTGGGGAGATAAAGCAGAGACAAAATAAAAGAAAACAAAACAAAAAAACCTCTAGACTATACTGCATTTAAATCTTCCTTCTGTATCTCCTTTTCTCTATGCCACAAGTGACTATAGAATTAGAAAAATCCCGTAATTATTCATTCATTTTTATGCCATATTACACAGGCAACAATCTCAGAATGATGACACTAGTGCTACTAGAACCATTATGATTACTGAAAACATTAAAAGACATAGTTTTGTATACACCCTCACCATCTTTAGAGCGTTGAGGACTGGCGATGTCTTCTGAGATGCCATTTATTTAGCAACATTTTAGAGCACCTTCCCTGTCTCAGACTCCCACTAGAAAGGAGGTGCAAAGAGGAGTAAGACAGGACCCTGTTCTTTAAAAGCTGGGTGGTTGGATTATTTGGTGTCATTCTGGTATAGGAACGTGTGGCCCTAGAATCTGGATTTTATTCTTCTTTAAAGGTGATGGTAGTGATTTCAATTGCATGCTTCCTAAAATAAAGCCATTTCACTTTCTGCTCTTATCAGGGGGCACCTTCCATTGGGTGGAGTTCCTTAATGCCTTCTAATCTCCCTTACCTAGTGTATTAGTCAGACATTCCAGAGAAATAGAACTAATAGGATCTATATATATGATTATAGACTATCACATCTTTTGTGGATGCGATGTATATATATAGAGAGAGAAAGAGAGAGACAGATTGAGAGAAGGAGTGTGTGTATTTTAAGGAATTAGCTTACATGATTGTGGGAGCTGGCAAGTCTGAAATTTGTAGAGCGGGCCAGCAGGCAGGAAATTTAGCTAAGAGTTGATGATGCAATCTTTAGTCCAAAATTTGCAAGGATTCATGGCAGCCTGGAAACTCACACTGGGTTTTTATGTTGAAGTCTTGAGGCAGAGTTGCTTCTGGGAATTGAGAAAGTTCAGTCTTTACTCTTATGGCCTTCAACTGATTAGATGAGGCCCACTAAATTGTGGAGAGTAATCTGTTATATTTAAAATCAGTCAATTGTAAATGTTAGTCACATCCACAAAGACCTTCACAGCAATGTGTAGACTAGTGTTAGACCAAACAACTAGGCACCGTAATCTAGCCAAGGCGACACATAAAGTTAACCATCACACTTTACCATTTGATTTATTGCCAAACTGAGATTCTTTTGACAATAAGGAGTATTAAAAAATAATAAAATTATATAATTTTATTTGTTGATTGACAAGTTGTTTTTATTGGTGAATGTATAAAATAGTTCTAAGAAGTTATTTTAAAAATAAATTTATTTCTAAAAGATAACATATTTCCATGTACATTTAAGCAAAACAAAATTGTTCCATACTGATTTTCTCAACATTAAAAAGAACATAAATAGAATTCTCAGTAAAAGTTCACATACATTATTTGGTTTCTTAGTCATAATTTGTATCTAATACTGGGTCTCTGTATTTTTCTGAAAGAAATGTAGTTTTGAAATATGGTTGTACTATTTTTAATTGTTTCGTAAGATTGTAGTCTTCAGAGTTTCATTTTATAGTTACTAAATTTGAAATTGTTGATTATTTTCAACAGTTACTATTCACTGTAAATCATATTTTTAAATTTGAGAATATAATATCTCTGTCGGTACTGAGGTACCCAAGTTCAAAACAAATTCTAATAAATTTAGATTATTATGAGTTTTGATTTTTTAAATAATTTAATATGAAAATATTCCAGCCCCCAAATTTTCTCAGGTAACTGGTTTTTTCTTTTTACTTTATTTAGAGTACCTTTAGTCAGTAAAACTTTTACAAGACAAAGCCTGTCCAATAATTTGTATCTATTTATAAGTCTTTTGAATAGTCTACTAAATTTAGATGCTGCTGCATTGTAAGCATTTTGAAGTTTATTTCATCCCGGTACATAGTATAACCTTATCTAAGTAAAAAAGTAGGTTCTCTGTATAAATTACATCTTGCGTTAAAAGTGTCCAAATGACGGAACAAAGTGCAGCCAAGATATAGAGCCCTCGATGGAAAAAGCACAGTGCTGTTGATGATTTTACGAAGCAAATGTTAACAGCCTTAAAGATTTCTAAGACAAGTAGCAAAACAGAGAAAATGTACTGCCATGCTGATGTATTTTACTTTTATTCAACATCATCTTTGTCACAAAAACTATTTTAGTTCAGTTTCTTTAACGATGTGCGTGTTTAAATATTTGTAAATTGTGCTTGCTAGACTACACATCTGTAGTAGATGCGATTGCAAAATGTATTTGCTTCTCCTTTGCTTGGTGGTATATTGCAGTTCACATGGCACAGTTGTGAATTATATGTGAATCACAACCATCTCCAAGTTTATTTCTGTTCCATAATTTTCTAAATAGGAACATTGTTTTTTACTCTGTGATGCCGTGCTTGACCAAATTGTATTTGTATTATTACTGTAAAAACAAATACAGGCTGTCCTCATTATTCGCAGATTCCATTTTGTGAATTCTACTCACAAAAATTTATTTGTAACTGCAAATTCTGCACTCATGGCGCTTTTGTAGGCATTCACAGACATTTGCATAGTGACAAAAAATTTGGATTGCTCAACATACATGTTCCCAGCTGAGATAAAACAAGGCACTTCTTTGCCTTTTTCTGTCAGCTCTTATACAGTAAACAAGTGTCCTTTTCGTGGTGCCACAGTTTTTGCATTTTTGCGCTTCTTGTTGGTGATTTCACTGTTTAAAATGGCTCCCAGGCATAGTGCTGAAGTGCTGTAGGTTGTTTCTACGTGCAAGAAGGCTGTGGTGTGATGTATTTTGTGGAGAAAAATACATGTTTTAAATAAGCGTCATCCAGGCATGAGTAGCACTATTGACTGAGAGTTCGATGTTGGTGAATCAGCAATGTATATTAAATTTAAAGTGTCTTTAGACAGAAGCACACGTAAAACAAGGTTATGTTTGATCAGTTGATGAAAATGTTGTGGCCAGAGGCTCACAGGAACTTAACTCGGTATTTTCTCTAAGAAGAATGGTTTACTGTTGGATAATTCAGGGTTCATGGTGACTTTATAGGATTTATTTACTGTGAATAATGAAAACTGACTAATTTTATCTTTGTTGTTGAACTTTTTGACTGACTTTAAATGGTAGTTATGGCAGCATCGGTTGTTTCACCTTCTACAAAATGAACTTCCAAAAGCTTTACTTTTGATTCCATAGATTGGATGAAAACAATCAAACTATTATTGGAATTAACTGATTTTTCTATTTGCTGTATCTCCTGACACTGAGAGAAAACTGGCATCATTTAAGTGTGAATTTCTTCTGCTAATAGAGCCAACAAAGTAACAGCTGTGACTTAACTTTGTCTATGTGAACAAGATTTGTACTCAGAACTGAGTGAGATAAACTTGAGGAACAGTCGTTTGATCTAAATGAAAAGTCATGCTTTACAGAGTAATATATAAAACATCTTTTTCATCTGCTTTTCTTAAATTGATGTCTGAGCAGGGGCAGCGACATTGAATATTTTCTCCAGTATTTCTTTGCCACCAAGTTGAAGGAATAGCTGTCCCCAGCTGCTGAGTCTGAATGCACTTTCTTTCCCTGCAAGTGGCGTGGGTGCTGTCTGAGAGAGGTGTCAGTTACGGCCCTCCAGAGATGGCTTACTGCTCAGGGTCTTTCAGATTTAACCACATGTTAAATTGGCAGCTGGGGTCACTGCACGTGCATCAACTCTGCTCAATGAGATCGTGGCAGAGCCTGGAAGTAAAAGTCCTGGCTAACTAATGCTACCATAAAAACAATCACTAGAAAGTGGAAAATCCAGGACAAATAATAAATTGAGTGGGACATTGGGATAATAGACATAAATTGGGACTGTCTCAGGCAAACTGACACACATGGACACTTTACCAGACACTTGTCTTTTTAAAAATCTCTTAACCCCAAGGTCTTGATTACTATTTTCCCATCAAAAAGGCTGTGCTGTCAATATGATTCACTTGTTTGTGACTGTTGAGTAATTGCCGCAGCATTATGCACGTGGAAAAGAATGTGAAGCATTCTTCTTAGTCAGTTTTATTCATTGTGGCATTTCTTTTTTTCTAGAACATTTTCTGTTCATCTTAAAACCTTTATTAAACTTTGCATGTCTTCATTTTTAAACTAAAGACATATAATAAATTTATGGACTTATTCTCCCTTAAATTAGTTCTTTTGTTATCTTAATAAAAATATCATACAGCAATTAACAATAGAAGTTGGGAATGAAAGGAAGGCAGTTTTTACATATATTTGATAAAAATGGATTATCTGAATATGATTATAATACTTTATATTCTATTGCAGGATTAATTAAAAGAATTTGCCATATATCTTATGACTCTACTGGAGCTGTGGGAGATAGGTAAGTGACAAGTGTTTTTTGAAAAGATATTTCTGAAGCATTAAATAATTTGATCTCATAGGTTCCTGACAAAGTAGGCAAGGGGGCATATCTTATTTCAGTGATTTACCTCTTTTTCTACTCAATAAAACAGTAGAAATATCATCTTTACATGAATTTTAATGTAACATTTCCCTAATATCCAATAAATCATATTTTCCAGGGAGCTGTAGGTTTATTTTCTATAATAATTATAATGAGGACATTGTTTATAAGACACATGGGTTTGTCATGTTACAAAACTTAAAGCACTAAAAAAAAAATCATTAAATGCAATGTGGTACCCTAGATTGGGTTTAGAACTGAAAAAAGACATTAGTGAAAAAGCAGATGAAATCCAAATAAAGTCTATAGCTTAATTAGTAGTAATGTACCAACGTCAGTTTTTCAGTTTTGTAAAACCATGGTTATGTAAGATGTTAACTTTAAGGGAAACTGGGTGAAGGGTATACAGGAACTCTGTAGTATCTTTGCAACTTTTCTGTAAATCTAAAATTATTCGAAAATAAAGATTTATTTAAAAGCAGAAAAAAATCAAGGTTTATTTGTTTGAAAATTATAGTTAGAGGTAACTTTTCTGTGTAATAGTGTGAAAAATCAAAATTATTCATTACCTTTAAAAAATCCATATTCCATGAAATAAAGATGCAGAGAAATATGCGACTATAGATTTTATCTTTCAGTTCATAAGAGGTGTGGAATTTAATTTCTTTTACATTGGCATGGTGTCCGTGAGCTTCTCCTTGTACTTGGTTACAGACTTGCTTTTTGATTCCTTTGAGGTATTTGTGTGTTCTTCGGTAGTTTAATACAGCATTTTCTATTAACACAAGCAGGCCCTTTAGGTGATTCCCAGGATACTGCTTTTTTCTTTTTCTTTTCTTTAATGTACTGTTAGAGGCAAAAAGGCTAGTAATGTGACTCGGTGTTTTAGAGTTGAGACCCTCTTAAGTGTAGTTTTGCTCAGTCACACCTGCTTGAGCTTCTAGGTCAAGTACTAGACACAGTTGACCTATTGTTAAAGAGGATGAGTAAAGATGAGCATAGCTCTGAAATAGCCTCTCTGTAATTGAGATAAAATAATTGATCACTGTCAGATAATAGAAATTCTCAGTTTCCAAAATGAACTCTAGCAGTATAACTTTTAAATTTCTATAAATATTAAAAGACTATAAGAAGGAAACTCTGTAGTTTGCTGAAACTATTATATAACTTTTCATTAATAAAAGTAAAATAGCCATGCTGGTCTTATAAATGGTTTCCTGCTTCTGTTGCCAACTTCAGTGATTTTAGTTAAACTTAAATTTCATAAAGGGAAATAGAAATACATTATACTTAAAGGATATAGACATTTAAAACAACAGACCCAGACCTGAATGACTCTTGCAGAATAATTATTAGGCTTGGAGAGTTCTGTTTTGCTTGACGATATTTATTCAGAATTGGTGTTATCAATCTCATATTAAGAGAATTTACATCTTTACTTTTTAGTTGTGTAACATGATTGTGCTAACCTTGGTAAGGAAGTTTGGAAAAATAGAGGAGAGTTTTTCAGGACAAGTTTAAATTCCATTGATATATAATAGTTCACACATAAAAATCAAACAAGAGCCCTTTTATTTTTCTTCTGTGCTAAAAGAGCATTAAAAGTGTTGTTTTTAGAGATATGCTTACCATTCAGCTGGCCGACTGTCATTTTGTGGTCATCTAAAGTATAAATGACAGCAGCTATATGTATTGAGCATTTTCTATGTGCCAGGTACTTTGTTTACAATGATCCCATTTAATCTTCACAAACTCCTATGAGATAGGCTGGAATTCCCTTTACAGATGAGGCTGGGAGAGTAACAGATGTCTCCAGGCTAACCCTGACGGTATGGGGCAGAAAGAACGAGTGCCCATGGTGTGCAGTACCTACAGTTTGGTTTACAATGTTATCAGGTTCCGGGAAATCCTGAATCCACAGACACACGGTAAACTTCAGCTTACGTCAACTTTTCTGGGTAAAAAGAGTGTCTGATCACACCGGGTGACCTAGAGCAGATTCTCCTGGGATGACTGTCCTGGAGTATAGTCTTCAGTTCCCTGTTCCAACCTTGATCTGGCTCATTCTACAGTTCTCTAACATGTCACTTATTCTCTGCCACCTGATTAACTGCTGAACACTCACTCATTGTATGCTTCATTGATCCTATGCCAAGAACTTTTGGCAGCTCTTGGGAACATGATCTCAACATGCCTCCTGGTCAGTGTTGGGCAACTAGAAGTTGTTCGTTGAGATGAGAACTTGGATCCAGAAGCTAGGATACATGCCAGAGGCCAGGGATGGGGCAGTTGAGCAGCTGACGTGAAATACAGCTATCCAGACTCAGTCAATAGGTCAGTAGTCAGAAATAGAGTAGGCACATGACTTTGAAAGGTGATTTTTGAAGAAGATTATGATGGCTGGCTGTGGACTTTGTAGACATAAAATAATTCCAACTGCTTTTTGAGGAAGAATAATAATGTTACCAACTTACTATAGCGCTCATTAAACTTAGCAGAAACCTCTCTCCTGTAACTCTTCCCCAGCGGTTCTGCCTGTGTCTTTCTGTAGCTCTACATCTTCAGACCCTTTTACGTTTTAAAGCGTGAAATACACATAAAATTGCAAAGTCTCCTTTGCTACCTCCGCTTCTTCATGGTCTTCAAAAGTTGGCATTTGTCAGGGCTCAGTTCTTGGCCACCTACATTTATTTCTCTGTGTAATCTCACGTGATCCCTTGCTTTAAATGCCGTCTGTCCTCCCACATTTATTTCTTTACCTGATCTCTCCCATGAGCTCCAGGCTCATATCTATGTCTGCCTATTCAACATCTCTATTTGAAAGTCTAATAAACATTTCAAACTTAACATGTCTGAAATAGAACTCTTGAACTCTCCTGCTAAAACCTATTCCTGCCTCCTTCTTCATCTCAGTAAATGACCCACCCAGTTGCTGGGACCAAAAACTAGAAGTCGTCTTTGACTTTTCTGTTTCCTCCATACCCTTCATACATCCAGCTCATCAGTAAGGCTTGTATGCCCTCCTTTCAAAATATATCCCAAATCCCCCTTTGCCGCCCCTCTCCCCACTACTGCCCTAATATAAGTCACTGTCATAAGTTACTAAGATGATAGTAATAATCTTCTAACGGGCCTTCCTTATCTCCTCCTTGTCCCTCTCTAGTAGTTCTCCATATAGGAGAAGTGTTTTGTTTCGCTTTTTACATGTTAAATGGTTCCTGTCATTCCTCTGTTCAGAACCGTTCAGGGGCTACACAGCACACTCAGGATAAAACCCTAAGTCTCAGCGTGTTCTACCAGGCCCTGCATGACTTTATCTGTATGTCATGACTCTGTCTGCAAAGCCTGCTGACTTGATCTCCTGCCGTTCTCCATCGTGCTCACTTTGCTCTGGTTAGACTTGCCTTCTTGCTGTTTCTTAAATCCTCCAAGTCCATTTGGAATCAGCTGAATCCCTCCAGCTCCCCCACCCTACACCCTCGTTCCAGCCAGTTCAGCCTGTGGTACCAGTGGAGGTGGATTTAGAGAAGAAAAGTGCATATCCAAGGCTCTCTAGCACTTGTAGGGGGAGAGGTCGCACTAGAAATTTTACAGTTAGTTTTCTTATTCCAGGTTTCTGTAATTTGAATTGCTTTCCAGTGTCAGAGGGCCTAGAGATGGAGAGCTGCAGAAAGACCTAGCCAGAAACAGTGGGGAGAAGTTACAGAGAGCGCGAGATTTCTGCTCAGTTTAGTGAGCACTGGAATGATTAGATATAACAATTACATCTGCATGAAAATAGACCGGGCTGCTTCGTAAGACAGTGCGTTCTCCACCACTGACAGTGTGCAAGTTGAGGCTGATCAACCTCCCGGGCTGTTGTGGGGAAAATGTGCTGAAGTAGAGGAGGGGAGTTGTTTTCTAAGGTCTTCCCAACTCAGATCCTATCAATTTTTAGAGTCTTCTTTTTTTCAGAGCAAGTCTTCTCAGAGTCCTCCTCAGATTCTTCCTCCTGTATTTGTATTGGGAAGCTTCCACCAATAAAACATAAAGCTCCTATAGGTGGAACCTTCCAATATTTCAGGTGAAGGAAGAGCTACTAGCAAGGTTGATTTCCAGTCAGATTGGCCAAGTCCGCATCTAAGGAATTTAGTTTGAGATGTTTTTCTTTCTCTCATTTTTTATTTAAAATTTATTTTGATTGATCTTTGGTCTAAAATAAACAATACATACATACACAAATTCCCTAATACATTTTAGTTATTTAAAAAGATTCACTGAGTCTCAGAAGTAACGAGCACAATATTTGAAAATAGCCTTTGGTCAGAGTTTGCTAGAAATGGAAAATTCACCTTATCCTTACTCTTATACAAGAAGCTTTTTTGAGAGGTAATGACCGTGTTTGAGTGTTTCATGGAGGGTGGTCCAGCCATTCCCTTATCTTCTCTTAGGCAAAAATATGATTTAAGTGATAGAGATCTTTAAGTTATAAGTGCTTTTAGTTAGACCTGAATAAGGCTGTTTATGCAAACTCATGTCTCTTAACTGCTGAACTGTGGAATTTGGAATTAATGAGATAGGAAAGAATGATTTTCAGGGTCTCAGTGATACGCAAGTGTCTCATATTTGATTGCTTCTGGTAGCTAGCACCTAAATAATAGGATGATGTATCTAAAAGTTGCCTCCAGCCAGAGAAGCTTCTTTCAGCAGCTGGACCTGCCCCACCCCAGCGTGCACCTGGCACACCAGATAAAATCAGCATTCTGATGAACGTGCTGGTCTGACTCTGAACTCCTTCCTATGCCTTCATCTTGAACCTCTTCTTGTTTCTCTGTGTTTCTGACTTTGCTGCCCTCTTTCTCATAATACCTATTTCTGTCCTTTAGATTTGACTCCTTCTTCCAGGTTATTATTTTGATTTCACTAAGACAAAACTG